ACAGGTTTTCAAGGGTATTCGCTCTTCGTTCAAGTAATCATATTCATTGCAGCTTTTTGGAATGATCATGAATTATTTCACCGAGCAATTTCCGTGAAAATGATCTGCATACCTTATCCTTGATCAAAACAATCTCAAATATTCGTACTCATTGTCAATAAAACGCCTGATACTCCCGAATTGTTAACAGGTTTACTTGGTGAGCCGTCGTGGTACATGGGTCTACAGTCGTACATGGGATTACGGGATTCCTATGGATATAGCGATGGTTAATCGCATCTCTAATATTATCGGCAGCACACGCTTGGGCTTCAGCTATTTCAACAATTTACTTGAGAAGAACCTTCAAAAACGATTTGATCATGAAATCTATGGTATTAAACCGAAACACAATGCGCTTAGGTTGGAGATTTCTTAAATGTTTTTCAGGAGTATTCGATTGAATTAGTCCTTCATGATTTTCGCGATTCGTAACAGTTTATACATCTATTTTCACACATCTGTTGTTGGAATCATTTCCTGATCCAGTCATCCAACTTATCAACGACTCAATGATCATCGGTAACACAAAAAGTTTCAGTGCACATGCAACAGTGAACGATGAGTTAGCGGGTCGTATTCAATCGGGTACGCTGAAAATCAAACCAAATATTTCATCATTTGGTGAGACGAATGTTACATTCGAGGATGGGTCATCCGTTGAGAATGTGGATGAGGTTGGTTCATTTTTGATATGTCTTGTGAACACTCCGTCTTTTCAGCATTCGATCTTAATCGTAAGCATTTGATGGCGTTGATCCGGCATTGGCTCAAGACTGATTTCGTGTTCAATTGAGCCTTGTATTCGGTCTTTGAAGCATGACCGAATAGCACGTGGTCAAACGATACGCATGCTCAAAAGCTATGCAGTCAACTACATTAAGAATGCTTCCCTCGACACCTCCAAATTACCCAAAACGGGTAATTTCACTTCTCATGAGAACCATTGTCATAGATCGTTGTGTTGCTCATGATTGCAATCAATTATGATGGCATGAAAAGCTATTTCTGTGACACGCT